TCATCCATCCATCCATCTGTCTATCCATTCAACCATCCATCCATCTGTCTATCCATTCAACCATCCATCTATCCATTCATCCGTCCATCCGCCCATCTGTCTATCCATTCAACCATTCATCCATCCATCTGTCTATCCATTCAACCATCCATCCATCTATCCATTCATCTGTCCATCCGCCCATCTGTCTATCCATTCAACCATCCATCCATTCATCCGTCCATCCGCCCATCTGTCTATCCATTCAACCATTCATCCATCCATCTGTCTATCCATTCAACCATTCATCCATCCATCCATCTGTCTATCCATTCAACCATCCATCCATCTGTCTATCCATTCAACCATCCATCTATCCATTCATCCGTCCATCCGCCCATCTGTCTATCCATTCAACCATTCATCCATCCATCTGTCTATCCATTCACCATCCATCCATCTATCCATTCATCCGTCCATCCGCCCATCTGTCTATCCATTCAACCATCCATCCATTCATCCGTCCATCCGCCCATCTGTCTATCCATTCAATCTCTGGACTCTCCACCATTTGACCTTAGAACTGAAGAAGCTTCTCGGATGAGAGGTGAAACGTCTTCAAGTAACTTAAAGAAGTCCAGACGCTTTTCTTTGCAAGCTCCTTTGACTACGATGACCTGGATGACTGAGAACCTTCACAGGCATATCCATTCAACCATTCATCCATCCATCTGTCTATCCATCCATCCATCCATCCATCAGTCTCTCCATCCATCCGTCCATCCATCAGTCTCTCCATCCATCCATCCATCCATCCGTCTATCCATTCAACCATCCATCCATCCGTCTATCCATTCAACCATCCATCAATCCATCCATCCATCCATCTGTCTATCCATTCAACCATTCATCCATCCATCCATCTGTCTATCCATTCAACCATTCATCCATCCACCCGTCCATTCGTTCATCCATCCATCCATCCATCCATCCATCCATCCATCCATCCATCCGCCTATCCATCCAACCATCCATCCATCCGTCTATCCATCCGTCTATCCATTCAACCATTCATCCATCCATCCATTCATCTGTCTATCCATTCAACCATTCATCCATCCACCCGTCCGTTCGTCCATCCGTCCATCCATCCATCCATCCATCCATCTGTCTATCCATTCAACCATTCATCCATCCATCCATCCATCCGTCTGTCTATCCATTCAACCATCCATCCATCCATCCGTCCATTCATCCATCCATCCATCCATCCATCCATCCATCCATCCATCCATCCATCCATCCATCCATTCAAACATTCATCCATTCATCTGTCTATCCATTCAACCATTCATCCATCCATCCATCCATCCATCCATCCATCCATCCATCCATCCATTCAACCATCCATCCATTCATCCATTCAACCATCTATCCATCCATCCATCCATCCATCCGCCCATCTGTCTATCCATTCAACCATTCATCCATCCATCCGTCTATCCATTCAACCATTCATCCATCCATCCATCTATCCATCCATCCATCCATCCATCCATCCATCCATCCGCCCATCTGTCTATCCATTCAACCATTCATCCATCCATCCGTCTAACCATTCAACCATCCATCCATCCGTCAGTCTGTCCGTCCTTCCATCCATCTTTTCCGGTATGGGAGTGGGTACACTCTGGATGGGTCACCAGTCCATCAGAAAGAAAGACTTCCTGCACATGTCTGAACTTGCTCATGATGACCTTTGACAGAACAGCAGTATCTGATACTCTGGGAAGAAGACAATAAGAGCTCTACAATAACCATCAAAGTGGACTGACTCTTCTTCTCCACATTTTTAAGTTTACAATGTTTAGTTCTATTTTTAAGCACTGGGTGCTGCCCCTCAGCAGGCTTCGGAACCTAGCTAATCCTAAGATAGCTGGTTGAAGGGGAGAAGCTAAACAGCTAGTTTCAGAGAGAGGGTGCACTGAGGGGCTGCACTGAGGCCCAGTGTTGTCAGATATTATTTTGAATCGTGAATCATGGAAAACTACTCTGGTGAAGTCCAGGAATAATAATGTGGAGCTGAAAGCAGCAGATCCACTTTTCAGAGTATATTATTTTTCTTTGTGTGTAAAGTTCTCATTGGCAGCTGTGCTAACACTACGGCACAAACACTGCACACAGAGACACAAAGATGGACTTACAAACTGTGTGTCCGAGTGAGTGGAAGAGGAGAAAACAGAAAACGTTAAACTTAGTGGGAGAATGAAGGGCTTGTTTCAAATATCAGACTGTAATCCTAATATTAAAGTGACTGTAGGAGGAATCATGGTCATTTTCTGTTTTTTTTTTTTAAATGGAGTTTCTTGCCCTTCTTTAACTACTTGCAGTGGTTTTTGATGTCTGTGGATATATAATCCCACACAACTCATCAGTCCTCCGTGCATCCGGAGGGAGGATCGAAGCTCGTTTTGCTTTAATACAGCAAACATTTGATTCATGACTCATTCTGATGGATGTTAAAGTCGTCCTGATGCGAGTCCTTGGTAAGATGCTGCGTTTCCTCCTCACACTGCTTCATCAGAAGCCCCTCCTCCTGGTCCTGTTATTTGGACCCCTTCCCTCGTGGTGCTGCTCTAAACTGGATTAAACAGCCTGAACATCGTTTTCTGCTGTTTTCCGCCCATTTAATTATGCCGCACTGATGTTCCTCATTCAGCCAACAACCGTGAGCGTGAAAACCGAGCGGGGCGCCGCCATCACAGGAACAGGAGGGGAAAAACCTGTCAATGTCCACAGGATGCTTCATGGAGGTTTATTTTGGCAGCGTGCCCGTGTTGGCGGCGAGGTGCAGACTGACCACTAAGCCCAGAGTTTTCATTAAAAGGTGCTAACTGAAGCCGGCCTCACCCGCCGGCCTCTTCCAACACTCGACCAGATTGTTCGTGCCTCCACCTCAGCCTCACACAGGCAGGTGTTCAAGACTGCAGAGGACACATTTATTCATTTCCTCGAGTCAATCAGAGGCAAAACTTACTTTTCCAAACTCAAACATCGAATGCTTTTCTTCTCAGAGCAGATTATTCTGCATTTACGGCAATGCTCTGACGAGCCATAGGCTGAAAGAGTCAAACTGATCCGGACGAGTAGAAAGCACTGATGCATCTGAATAACGATCAGCTTGAATTAGAGTCCAGAATCTGTTAGTTTGAATGAGTTTTTTCTGACATCTTTGATTTAGAGTCTACTACAGAAGCAAGGACACATTCTCACAAACACCAGCAGACTGAGAGACCTGCAGGCTGTCTGAATGCAGGATCTCTGGATCGTGCACAGTGCAGGGATTTTCTGTTCCTTTAAATGGTTAACGAGCCAACTAGAACACGGGCCAACTCAACGAGCCACAAAAGCTCCATGTTACACATTTGCAAACATGACAGACACCTGTCCGCCTCAGCGGGACACTCGGGCCTCCGAGAGACGCTCACAGCCGTTGTCCTCGCACAGATCCGGGGGTAGCGCCGACAGTGACCCGGCACAAACCGCCGACTGCCTGCCAACAGTCGGGCTCGGTGTGCCGAGCATCTGTCGGCCCTTTGGAGGTGGAGGAGGGACGCGCGGGATGAGTTAGCGCCGCTCGCCTGGAAGCAGCAGGCAAAAAGCACATCAGAAAGGCGTCAGCTTCACTCCTTCCGTTTTGATCAAGCGAGGCATGAAAAGGAGAGCAACGCTGTCAAGTGGCGAGAGGGCTACGCCATTAATGTTGTTATTTCTGCACGGGGAGGTCTGTGCAGCTAATGGAAGGGGGGGCACATTAGGCGAGGCCATATGGAGGGGTCCCTTTGCCGGAGCTCTTGAATAGGCAGCTTAGAGCTGTGTGAAATTCTGCTTGTGTAGAGTTTTCAAAGACAGCCTGCAACAGCTCTGCCATATGTGGCGCTCTGAAAAGCCGGCTCTTTATTGGCTGTGGAGTCACACTTTGACTTAACAATGAATATGAGGAACATATGCTGGGACGGGGTCTCAAAGAGCTGCAGGAGAAGAAAGGAAACCACAGATCGATGCAGGAGCGCCGCTCACAAACAAGGACAATCTCGCCGTTCCCGAGATCCTCCGCTCAGCACCGTGAAATCAAACCGCCACCAAATAAAAGTACAGAGGCTCCGGCGAATGGCTGTGGAGAAATTATCAGTCCCTCCCATCTGCTGGGAGCCGAGCCGCCTCCCTTCAGGCTCGCTGTCTGCTCAGATATTAATTACCATGTAATTACAATATCATTACACACGCCTGCTGTCTGGCTGCTGGGCCGCTCCAATCGCACGCAGGCCTAATGAGCGTGGACCCGCCATCCCGATGCGGCGTCCAAGGCGCGCAGCGGAAGGCCAGTCGGCGCCGGCGTGTTTGAGCCCCCCGAAATCTCCAGACCCCGAGACACAAAACAGCTCAACGAGCTGACCACAGACAGGAAGACGCACATGCGATAAGGCCGTGTTGTTGCTGCGTTTCTTCATTTTATCAGTTTGATAAAATCTCTGACTTTTAATTTTTTTTTTCCATATTTGTGTCCGTTTCTGTCTCTTTGTCGTTGTTTTGCGTTTCTTTGTATTTGTGCTTCTTAGCTTTCGGCAGGGTTTAGTCTCTGTGCGGTGGTTCGGCGTCTCTGTGCACGCCGTGTTCGGTAATCCGTCCATGTTGCTGTGATTAACCTGATGGCAGGCTGTCAGAGCTGTCAGCCTCTTTGAAGAGAGGGCTGCACGGCTCGCAGCGCAGTGCTGCATTTCTGCAGGTGTTTCAAACAAACACACAGGACGTCTGAGTGAGGCCAGTTTACATGAACTGAATTTTACATTAACGCCGCCCTCTGCTCGCGTGAACGTCCGACTTGTTTAAACTCGCCGTGGTGACGGGAGACAGGAGGTGAGGGAGCTGCTCTCTGTGATATGGGCGCTCAGCTAATTGAGGCAGAAGGCAGAGGTGTTCTGTTGTGTTCAGATGATTCATGTTAACGAAGCCAAACTCACCCCCTTCATGTACGGCAGGTTTGCATCACAGGAGGCCGTCAGCGGCAGCCGGAAAGAGTCAGAACACAGAAGCCGATGAATTCACAGTGAAACAGCCTGAGAGCAGGACTGAAAACAGGAGGGACAAAAGCTGCTGGCTGCTAAACTACTGTCCAAACTAACGTGGAACAAACACATCCCGTCGATTGATTTATTGGTCATGACCTTTCACTCATTCAAGAGTCGAAGTGCTGCTATATTTATTACTGCACTGCAGTGGTTTGTATCATATCTATCTAATAGACTCCAGTTTGTGCATGTAAATGGAGAGTCCTCTTCACACACTGAGGTTAATTATGGAGTTCCACAGGGTTCAGTGCTAGGACCAATTCTGTTTACATTATACATGCTTCAAATTCAAATTCAAATTTTATTTGTCACGTACACAGTCATACACAGTACGATATGTAGTGAAATGCTTGGACAACTGCTCGTGACCTAAAGAAAACAAAAAAGGAAAAGGCTATGAATAAGATAGGAAATAAATATGAAAAATTAAAATGCTTCCCTTAGGCAGCATCATTAGAAGACATAGCATACATTTACACTGCTATGCAGATGACACCCAGCTCTATCTGTCCATGAAGCCAGATAACACACACCAATGAGTTAAACTGCAGGAATGTCTTAAAGACATAAAGACCTGGATGGCCGCTAACTTTCTGCTTCTTAATTCAGATAAAACCAATAAAACCTGTCAGTCACTTTGTGTTTACACACCTCTCTGCATTTAATCATTAGTTATTATTAATCTCTGGCTGCACAGCGTGCCTTTGTCCTGTCCTCCCTTCACTCCTGGTTTTGGTGGTGAGACGGTAAAGTTTTATTTTAAAGGTGAACCTTCTGTGTTTCAGTTTGCATTACACTTTTTCTATTTTCAGCACAGCACAGCTCAAAAACAAAAATGACAATTCATGCAACCTACAAGTGGGTGCAATAACAGGTAGGTGTTCTGCAGCAACCACTCCCCAGGGCACATTTTTCCCTAGCAACTGGAGGTTACCATGTGGTCGCTGACCGGTCTCTGGGCCTAAATCCACGTATGTTGGTCCCACCCAAGCCTCTGTGCTGGATGGATGTTTTACCCGTGGTTCCACATGCTAGCTTCATTTTGTTATCATTTGTGCGTTTATATGAATTTTTATTTATTTTGGAGCATTTTGACCTTGTGAATGCAGGCAGTCTGCTATAAAACATTTTGTACTAGAATTAAAGAGTTTGTAGGTACAAACGTGTTTCGCCTGCATAAAGAGAATTGATGTAAGTGTGAATATAACCACAGTGTATGTTAAACACTTCATGGATCAGGTTTCATTGAACAAAATCATTTTTTCTGTGTAAAAATCTACAGTGTGACTCCTCGGTTAGCTTAAGTGAAGCTGTTATAAGCTCAGCTTTATTCATGAAAATGATTACAGCTCTTCTCACACGTCAGCGTAGTTTACTCAGGACGGTCCAGACAGTAACCATGAAGCCTCCGTCCTCAGTCTTCTGTTTATCTGATCCTCGTCCTCACCTGCTGCCTGACTCTCAGCAGCTTCTTATCCAAACTAATAGGATCATTACCCCCCCTCCATTCATTCAGCTGCACTCCCCTTTCTTTCTTTTCAATAAGCAGATTACTAACGTCTTTGTTGCTCTTTGAACATTTAATTTCCTTAAGCCAATTATTTTGTGAAAGCGTCCGGCTCTGAAGCCATTTATCGACGTTTGCTGACAGCGTGGTGACGGCAGAGCTCAGGTGGAGCGGCAGGCTGCAGCATGGAACCAGAGGAACACTTATTATTAAATGAACCAATTATTACTGTCTGCAAAAGTAAAGCCACACCTACTTCCTGCTTCCAGTAGAGAGCCTCAGATTAAAGGCGGTTCCTGTCCAAAACAACACAACAAAGTTAGGAGGCAGACTGGGAGCTTTGAAAGTTTGGGTCCAGAGGTCAGTTCATGGTCTCCAATGAGCTGAGGCGAAGCTTAGCAGGAAGCTGCCTGTGAGGACTCACTGCTGCCTCTGCTGGGCATCAGAGGACCTGCAGGTTTTGATGTTTAATTGTTGGTTTTCACTTGTTTTTGGCGAGATGTAGTAAAAGAAAACTCAGTCAGACAGAGACCAGTCGGTGATTCTCTGGAAACCTCCGGTCGCTGGAGAAAACCGTGTCACCAGGTCAGTGGCTGCTGTTGCTGGCTGTCACCAGATGAAATCAGTCACAAAGATGGTGTTGCACCACCGTAAACGGTTGTGTTTTTACACTGCAACCAAAACATTTCCGAAGGTGCAGTTCTTATTGTGAAGGCAACTGTAATTCTCTTCATTTTGGGGTGAGTCGATCTTCTGTTCTTCGACTGCAGCTAGCTCAGAATGCTGCTGCACGTCTTTTGACTGGCACTCGTAGATGCGAGCACATCACCCAGTTTTATATTCACTTCATTGGCTGCCCGTGCATTTTAGGATCATTTTAAGCTGCTTTTATTTGTTTTTAAATGTCTGTCCAATGCTGCCCCTCTGTACCTCTCTGAGCTCTTCATCCACACATACCCTCCCGGCCCCTCAGGTGGGCAGACCAGCTCCTCCTGAGCGTGCCCAGGACTAATCGTGAGCTCAGAGGGGATCGGGCGTTTGCTGTGGCAGCACCAAAACTGTGGAATGAGTTGCCTTTACATGTTAGACAGGACCTTCCTTATCTGTTTTTAAATCACGTCTTAAAACATATTTATTTACCTTGGCTTTCAGCACAGCAGGACTTGTTGATGTCTCTTAATATGTTTCTTATTAATTACATTATTTTTAATTTTAAGATATTCTATATGGAATTTAAACTGTTTTCTCTTTCTTCTATATTTGTAGCACCCCTAACCCTTATAAATAAAGATGCTATGCTATACTTCGAGCAGACAAGCCAGCATCTTCTATACAGATACGGGCAACAGGCTTTCAGTGCAGCATGGTCAACCTCTCTGTGACAGGTTCCACCCACTGACACCAGCTACCACCCACCAGCTGGTTGGTGAATGCACATATTTCCATGGGAGACCGGCCCGTGTGACCTTTCTGTTCTCTAATCCTCCTCCGTGAAGCTCTTTGAGCTGCACGTGTGAAACAGAAATAATTCAGTCATCCTATGAAAATATGACCTGTGAGCAGGTAAGCAAGTGTTTTACTTACAGTGATGAAATCCTGACGAGGTGAGAAAAGAGGAAAGGAAAAAGGAAAGAGTTCAAGTGTTTAGAGGATGAATCAGAATAGCGGCGTGCTCACTATCTCCGCCTATAAGTCCTACTGCACGCGCTCCAGCTAATGCACCAGACTCTATTCAAGCATCGCTGTGTGTGTAACAAACACTGATGGCTTTAATCCAGCAGCTACTGATCACTAAATGACACCTTCTGCGTCAGAGCACCGCACAGGAGCACTAAGTCTGAAGCGGACCTTCTTTAGCACGAGCCCGGGCTCCTGAGCGAGCAGCCGGCGCTGGGTGGCCACATTCCCCACGGCACAGCTCTTCAGCCACTCCTTCTCCAGAGGATCCAGAGAAACCCTGTGGAACAGAGACTGGGGGAGGAAGGGGAGGGAGAGGAAAGGAGAGGAAGGTGACCTCCATCTGTATTTAAACTATAACCGAACACCAATGAAGAAGCGACGAAGCCCAGGCTGTCTCCGCCCCCTGACATTTGGAACTGTTGAGCGAGGTGAACGTGTTTTCTTCCAAACTTTCAGTTTGATGCTAAAAACTGATTTTGTAACATTTCCTCTAGTGTCTTGATTTTCTGTCATAAACTGGCGTCCTCGTTGTCCTCTAGCCAAGGCGGGGGCTGCTGGGCGGCGGGCGAGCGGGGATCCTGACGCCATTAGTGGTGTTTATTGGCCAGCAGGGTGCTGCGAAGCACCACCCAGGCCTTTAATCAGAGGCCTGCCGGGCTGTCCTCACTGTTTACCTGATAGCTCCGTGTTAATTACACAGCCTGGGCGGGCACAGAGGGAGGCCGTCCTTCAGCTTGATGGCACGCCGTGGCGGCGAGCAACACGGCTAACGGCTCGCAGTCGACCCTGATGCAGCAGGAAGAAAACACGTCCAGCTCAGTGCACGTTTAAAACTTGTTTCCAGCACAGAGACGTGTTTTCAGTCAGCTGCAGAGGAAACCTGCCCTCAGCTTGGCGTAGGCGTCCGAAGGGCTGAGACTCAGAAACCAACCGAGAGCTGTACACTCATGGACACCAGATAGTAGTTTAGTCTGGTTTGGTCTGATTTGGAGCTCGTGTTGGACTGACGAGAGGCTGGACTTTACCTCGGTCAGTAAAGTATAACTGGTGTCGCAGCAGACGCTGGTTAATCCAAGCCGGAGCCTGAACAAACTGAAGCCACAAACATCGATCAGACTCCGCGATCTGGACACGAATCAATAACGAAACTGTCGCTCTGCAAACTTACAGCCCAGTAACAGGCGGACAGTTCCTGCTGGGTCCAGTCAGACAGCAGCAGGAGGCCATCACAGCCAATGAGCAGCCAGCGCTGTGTCATTATGGGACATCACCATGGGAACGGCATTGGGGGGAGGGTCTGTTTCAGCTCTTTCACACACACACACACACACAGCGAAGGCTCTTTGTGTCTCACCATGACGGAGGACGTTGTGACGCTCCTCGTGTCGTCCTCCTCGCTCTGCCAAACAACAACAACACAAACTCATCAACATTCACAGAAAACTTTTAGCTCTGACATCCCCGTCAGACAGAATCTTTACACCGAGTTCTCAGCACAAAATATTTCTACTGCTTTGACATACAGCGCTCCCTCGTTTATCGCGGGAGTTACGTTCTAAAAATAACTAGCGACAGGTGAAATCCACGAAGTAGCCAACTTTATTTTTTACAATTATTATAGATGTTTTAAGGCTGTGAAACCCCTCACCACACACTTTATGCACTTTCCCACACAGGCATGAACATTTTCACACTCTTCTCTCTTGTTTAAACGCTCTCAAAGTTTAAACCTTCGTAGAAAAATAAGTCCAGTGTTATCGAATGAAACCAAAGATCAAATCAGCTGCCAAAGAATTCAACAGTAACGAATCATTAACGAATCAATGGTGCGGAAGTAGACAAAGCAAGAAGAATGAGATGAGTAAAGTTTGACTTATCTGACTGTTTTGTTTCCTTATTGCACCTTATAATCCAAAAAATATGGTAACTTCTGCCTTTAGCACAGACCTTCCCAAAGTGTGGGGCCCGCCCCCAAGGGGGGGCACAGAGCCATTGCAAGGGGGGGGGGGGGGGGGGGGGGGGGGTAAGAAAAGGGGAAAAATAAAAAACAACGCTTGGACACTGCTAGCACGGCGCCCACACAAACGCAAAGCAGGAGATGAAGCATCGCTGAATATGTTTCCAAACCAACTTCATTCTAAGCCAAAGAAAATATGGTGAAGCAAATCTGCCCTTTGGCTTCACCTGCACAGGTGCTGAGGCAGGTCTCCCTGCAGGTCTTCCCTGCGTCGGGAGCAGCGCTGGGCTGTTTAAATCACGGACAAACAGGATCCCACAGTTGTTTATATTTTTAACCACAGAGAGGCATTTTTGAAAAATGTATTGACAGCAATGTTGAACATTATTACACAGGAAAAAACAACTACATGTAAAATAATGACACCGTGAGCCTCTGCCTTTGTAATGGAGGGACAGTAACTGCGTGTAAACCTGCAGACAGTCAGATTAACAGTATTTCGTCTCTATCATTCTGCGATTCATCTCCTGTAAACAATAACGTGGCCACAGCGTGGCGTGAAAAAGGCACATAGCTTTGACGCTGCGTGACCAACTCTGCATTCCTCGTCCACACGGAAACGCAAAAAAAGGAGTTTTAAAAGTCTCAGTTTTCGGTGATTCGAAACGCCGTTTACGTGGACGAAACAGCTGCGTGTTCAAAATCACCCGTGTACGCAGCGTAAAAGAGTTAGTAGTTTATTTATTACTACCTGCAGTTTACTTGTATTTGCTTAATTGTTTACTAAATGTTTGAGGTGTAAAATAAACCGCAATGGAGCAAAATATGGGCGTGTGTGGGTGGAGGACGTGTGCGTGCGCGCATTTTTCTTATAAAACAAAGGCAGCAAAAAAAGTTTGGGAACCACTGCTTTAGCATGTCCAGAAGTCCAACTGTTTGTGCGATGGTTAGCATCTTCCTACCGCAGGAGCCTCTGACGGTGCAAAGCGTTTCGTCGACAGTGTTGTGTTTGCTTGGGAGAAAACTTACAAACATGCAGTGCAGCACTTCAGAGTCACACTGTAGAGATGAAAGATTTACGTAAACTTGACAAGCTGAACGCATTCTGTACTGCACAGGAGACACGGCGCGAGATTGATTGACAATGGGCTAGGCCACAAAAGGTGAACCGCGTTATAGCGAGGGACCACTGTATTTTAAAAGTTTATAACATTATTAATTGTTCTGAAACATCCTTCAGAGCGTTTGGCGGCGTGTGAGCACAAACCCGATCAGTGAAATCTGAGCGATGCTGTAGGACGACGGGTGTCTCCACGCCAGATTTTGGTTTTTCTTGGAAAAGTATCCAGTTTTTTCTTCACATTTGTTTTTACATGTTTCTGAATGTCATGAAATATTAGAGTTTTTTTATTTTTAGATTACCGTATTTTCACGACCATAAGGCGCACTGTGCTAAAAGGCGCAGTCTCAGTTATGTGTGCCATTACTGTATTTAACACACACATAAGGCGCACTGGATCATAGGGCGCATACAAGTACCGTATGCGTATTTAAAAATAAAGCGGGAGCAAACCTGAATTCGGTACCTTACTCACATTTTTATTACCAGTAATCGTCATCATCAACAACACACAAGCATACAAGTGTGCGTATTTAAAAATAAAGCAGGAGCAAAACAAAGTTTGGTACTCACATTTTTATCATCAATCAAACCCATCGAAGTCCTCATCCTCTGTGTCTGAATTGAACAGCTGCGCTAAATCTCCATCAAACATGCCAAGTTCACTGTCTTCACTGTCAGAGTCACTTTCCGTGCCGTGCGGCTCCTCGGAAATGATGCCGGCTTTTGCGAAAGCTCGAACAACAGTGCCAGCAGACATGTTAGCCCAAGCATCTACAATCCATTGGCAAATTGTGGCGTAACTCGCCCGGCGCTGCCTTCCACTCTTAGTGAAACTGTGGTCTCCATCGGTCATCCATCGCTCCCACGCCGCTCGCAGCCTTACTTTGAACGGGCGGTTCACACCGATGTCCAGCGGTTGGAGTTCCTTTGTCAGGCCTCCTGAATGACAGCAAGCTCACAGTTCATTCGTTTCACTAGTTTTTTTCACATCGGCTGTGAGATGGGCACGCATAGAGTCACAGATTAACAGCGATGGTGATGCGTGGAAAAAACCACCTGGTCTCCTTACATACACCTCCCTCAGCCACTCTTTCATCATTTCCTCATCCATCCAGCCCTTTTCATTTGCCTTAATGATGATTCCTGCTGGAAACTTCTCTTTAGGCAAAGTCTTTCGCTTAAAAATCACCATAGGCGGCAGTTTCTGTCCATTAGCATGGCAGCCAAGCACAACAGTGAAACAAGACTTTTCATACCCCGTTGTGCGTATCGCTACCGTGCTGGTCCCCTGCTTCTCCACAGTGTGACTCACCGGGATGTCAAAAGTGAGCGGGACCTCGTCCATGTTAGTGATGTGGCTGGGCTGGATGTTTTTGTCGCCGATGTGTTTGCTGCAGTAGGAGCGGAAGATGGCCAGCTTTTCCTTATAATCCGCTGGAAGTTGCTGCGCTACCGTAGTCCTGGTCCGGATGGAAAAATGGCACCGTTTCATAAAACGAAAGCACCAAGACGGACCTCCTTGGAAATGTTCAATGTTCATCTCTTCAGCTAGTGAAACTGCTTTTAGCCGAATGGTGACCGTCGAAATGCTTCTCCCGCTCGCTCTTTGCTCGATGATCCACCGCTCGAGTCTTTCCTCCAACTCGAGCCACCTCGCCTTATGTCCGCGGAAACTCAGCTGCGTTTTCTTGACCTGCCGGAGCTCGTTTTCCAGCTTCCTCCATTTGCGAACCATCGATTCGTTAATCTTAAATTCTCTCGCGGCTGCTCGATTTCCATGTTCCTCCGCGTAGCTGATGGCCTTCAGTTTAAACTGTGCTTCGTAAGCGTGTCTCTTTGCCATTTTCAGGGTTGTTAAAACAACGATGTCCTGCATAATGCACATACCTGTTCTTTTATACAGGTATGTGCGATTGTCCCGGTATATACGATCAACGCCCACACTTCACCCTTGGCTGGGCCAGCGGGTGCGGAAACCCCTGGCTGAGAAGCAGGAAGGCTCACAGCTGGCTCTGGGTGCTGTGGCTGCAGGTCCGGGAACTGAACAGGATGGTAGACCGGCGACTGGGAAACAGGGGGCGACTGGACTGACTGGACAGGGGACTGAGCTACAGGAGGTGACTGGAGGACAGGAGGGGACTGAGCTACAGGAGGTGACTGGAGGACAGGAGGGGACTGAGCTACAGGAGGTGACTGGAGGACAGGAGGAGACTGGACAGCAGGTGAGGGAACTGACTGGAGGGAAAGCTGAACAGCAGGTGAGGGAACTGACTGGAGGGAAAGCTGAACAGCAGGTGAGGGAACTGACTGGAGTGGAGATGCTAAGGGAGGAACAGAGGCAGGCGTGGCTGCTGGCTGAGCTACAGATTGAGCTAGTGACGGAGATAAAATTACGGCTTGGGCTCGTAAGGCTGGTGCCTGGGCAGGGGACAGTTCAGCTAATCTAACTAGGGATAGTGCGAGGGCGTGAAAGGCTGGGTCAGGAGGTGGATGAAGTGGTGAAGTAGCAGGTGGACCGGTTAGCTCCTCCAAGCCTCCAGGGAGGTCAAGCTGGGTTCTGGTTGCCCTCAACCTGGGCGCTGGGACGGGCACGGAAGGTGGCTGGACACCAGTCACCCCCACCTGAGAAACAGAAGCGGGTGTGGAGGTAGACCGGGTCGCAGCTGCCCTCCTCCTGGGAGCTGGCACTGGTGTGGGCGTAGACTGGGCCCCTGTGCTGGTGGGAAATGGCTGAATACTGGGTGTGGAAATAGTGACGGTGTGTGTGTTACTGGCAGGTTTATTGGAGATTGTTCTGATTTTTCTGCCACCACTATTTACAGTCTTTGGGGGAGCAGAGCAGAACAAATCTTCCCAGTCCACAGAATCCTCCAGGAGGGAAACATCCCATGAATGAGAGATGGGTTTATTGTGCGTTTTAAGTGAATAATCAGATGGTGAGTGCGAAAAACAGTCACTGGAGCTCACCATCGGGAGTGGCTGAAAGTAGTCCGTTCTATGGCGGCGTGTGCGCCGCTTTCTCTGGGAAGCGGAAGCGGCCGGGGAAAACAGCAGAGCCTCTGGCGCGGTAGCCTCCGTTGAGCCGAGGTGGGAGGCGTAGCCGTTGTGCCGCGGCGATGGTGGAGGTCCGGCGGATGAGGCGGCGGGTGTGGGAGCGAGGAGCGGAGTGGCGAGAGAGGGAGTGGCCGAAGCGCGGCGTGGAACGTCCACTCTCCACGGCAAATGCTCCGGTACAGGTGAGGCAGCAGGTGGGGGAACGCGGCGTCTCCGAGGCCCGCCCAGAGCCAAGCGAGTGCCCTCGAAGACGTGCTCTCGCTCC